CAAAGGTGTGCACCACCAATGCCTGACCCTGTCTTCTCTTGCTCTTAAAAAAATTGTGTGTGTGTGTGTGTGTGTGTGTGTGTGTGAGAGAGAGAGAGAGAGAGAGAGAGGGAGGGAGAGAGAGAGAGAGAGAGAGAGAGAGAGAGAGAGAGAGAGAGAGAGAGAGAGAGATACCAAGTGCAGTGCCCAAGGAGGCCAGAAGAGAGCATGAGATCTCCTGGAGCTGGAGTTACAGGTGGTTGCGAGCTGCCCAATGGGGGTGGTGGGAACAGAACATGGGTCTTCTGTGAGAGCCATCTCTCCAACTTCATCTCTTTGCTTTTTAACGTTACGTGTACTGCTGTTTTGTCCATGTGTATGTCTATGCACCACTAGCAGGGCCCATGTATGCAGAGGCCAGAAGAGGGCACTGGATCCCCTGGAAGTGAGTTGCCATGTGGGATCTAGGAACCAAACCTGGGTCCTGTAGAAGAGCACCCAGTGCTCCTAACTGCTGGCCCATCATCGTTTTACTACTGAATTATAACCTTACATAACCACAGCCATCTCTAGAACCTGGGAACCACCCCAGGCCCCAACATTCCCCTTCTAGTTACTTTACCCCCTCAATTCCTTTCTTTTCAAAGTCCATTTAACACGTAATCTATACCATCATCTACCCTGGGTTATCCTCCCAACTCCCGATCTTATTAATTAAAATCAGACAGCACTCCACACTATCTTTGATTGTTTATCCTCCAATAGCTATTCAAGTCAAAGAGGCCTCTGTGATTAATTTGGCTACTGTGACATTTACTTAGTGGGGAACCAAAGAGCGGTGTTTGTTCTCTGAGTTAATATCCTACTCAGGGGATAAATCAGAGCATGCACCCAGCACCCTGAGCTCCTGCAGTGAGCAATTATTTTCTGAACCACATACTCAACACTGCCACACTTGAACACTGCATACACTTCAACAGAATGATAAAGTAAGAAACCAAAAACATATACAAAACTAAAATAAAGCAATCAGTGAAATAATACTGTTCGTGTAAATCCTAACACAGTAACACAGAAACAAGAAACGGTGCTGGAGAGATGGCTCAGAGGTTAAGAGCACTGGCTGTTCTCCCAGAGGTCTTGAGTTAAATTCTCAGCACCCACATAGTGGCTCATAACCATCTGTAATGAGATCTGGTGCCCTCTTCTAGCATGCAGGCATACATGCAGGCAGAACACTATATATACATAAATTATAAATTAAAAAAAGAAACAGGAAACACCAAGACAATATAACTCTTCAAAAAAATTAATCCTAGAATAATGACGTCTAGGGAGAGTGAGTTAGATGAAATTAAAGGCGTGGTGGCGCATGCCTTTAATCCCAGCACTCAGGAGGCAGAGGCAGGTGGATCTGTGTGAGTTCAAGGCCAGCCTGGTCTACAAGAGCTAGCTCCAGGACAGGCTCCAAAGCTACACAGAGAAACCATATCTCAGAAAATTTAAAAAAAAAAAAGAAAAGAAAAAAAGAGAAAAAGAAAGATGAAATCCCAAACAGAGAACCTGAAATAATGACAAAGATGTTCAAAGACAAAGACGAGCAAAGGAATGAAATAGATGGTAGATGATGTGAAAGAGGAATTCAACAAAGAGAAAGAAATGCTAAAAGTTTGAAATTGTGGGGAGAAGTCTCAGGAATAGGATGAAGAAGAGAAAGGAGTATCTGGACCTGAAGACAGTGGAGGAAACGGAACAATCCGACAAGGAAAAGATAAAATAATAAAAGGGAACAGTGGGAATTTAAGATGTATGCGACACTCTAAAAATACTAAATATATAGGTTGTAGGTATAGAAGGAGAAGAATCTTGTTCAAAAGACACAGAAAACACTGTCAAAATAATAGTAATAGTTTCTGAGAGTTAGGAAAGTCTTCCAGATAGACACCAAGCAGACAGGACCAGAGAAGAATCTCCCCTTACATTATAATAAAGCGCCATACATGCAGAACAAAGAAAATATATTGGAGCCGGGTGGTGGTGGCGCACGCCTTTAATCCCAGCAGACATATATACGCCTTTGAGAAGAGAACCCAGGTGACAGAGTGGAGTAAAAGGAGCTTGTCAACAATGATGGGACAGCAAGCAGCTGCACAGCCATTTGCTTGTACAAAGATGCACCTAGACACAGAACTGAATGTCCTTCAATGAATGTACTCAAGGAACATCATGTCACGTGCCTGCCTCCAGAGCCTGATGACCCACAAAGCTGTCCTTTAACCTCCATGTGTGTGCATGTGTACACCCCCACAGTGTAATAAGAGACAGCTTGAGTGTGGTTCCCAGCACCCACATCTGGCAGCTCTAGACCACCTGCAACTTCAGTTCCACGTGGATCCAGCGCTCCTGGGCTCTGGGGGCATCTGCATGCACAGGCACCTGCCTGATGCTGACCGCCAGTCAAATAACCCCACGCTAACTCTGAACCGAGTATCCTGAGGTCTTCCTTTATTAAAAGGGAAAACTCATGGAACAGAAATGGGGTGTGGAGCATGGTAAGACGAGAATGAGCTGGGTGGGACGGCAGCTTTTTGGGTACCCAAAAGTCACGCCCCAACCTGGTCCAGTCTCTTAAAGGCCATTGGCTGAAGGAGGTTCCCCATCATGTGCCCATACACAGACACACATAAGATTAAAGTATTGGTATGTGTGGTCACAGGAGACCCAGGCCAGTGCTGGCTTAACTGTACATGTGAATCAGAGCTTCTTGTCAAGTATCCTGCTGTTGTTCCCCTTAGTGACTGAGCCCAGACTGGGGCAGGGGCATGGAGACGCTGCTTGCATAATTAATGGTGCTAGGGGAGAGACACTCTAAGGGACACATGGAACCTACTGACCCTGCAAACTATAAACCATGAAACTCAGTCAGGCGAAGCAGGGCTGTGGTGGCTGTCTGGAGAGCTGGACCTCCTCAAAAGCAGTGGGCAGGCAGGGTGATAAATACCTTTGAGATGAGTAGACAGGTCCCCTTCTGGATGGCAGGGATTTCCAGAGAAATCGAGACAAGTGTGAAACTTTAAACAGCTTCTTGGCAGGCTGGTTCAGGGCCAGGGAGCCAGGCTCTGCAGAGGAAGTGGGTCCTGACAGGCCTCTTCTTCTTTGGGCCAAGAGGCTGGGCTTCCTGCGGCCCAGTGACCTCACATCTGAGGGGAGATGTGCTGTTGGAGACTGGGCTGCCCCTTTAGGAACAACTCAGGAGTGTCAGGCTTGAGTTCAGTTCCTTATCTACCATTTATAAGCTGCATGACCTTGGATGGCTGCTGCCATTCACTTTCCTGTGTCACGAATGGAAATGGTAAAGACTAAACTGCACATGGGTAACATTGAAAATGTTAGCCATGGCTCTGTTGGCCATGTTCAGGTGCATATGCACATGTGTGCGTGTGTGTGTGTGTGTGTGTGTGTGTGTGTGTGTGTGTGTGTAGGCCAGAGGTCAACCTGTGGATCATAACCCCTTTAGGAGGTTGAATGACCCTTTCACAGGGGTCACCTAAGACCATCAGAAAACACAGATATTTAAACTACAATTCATAACAGTAGCAAAATTACAGTTATGAGGTAGAATGAAAATCATTTTATGATTTGGGGTCATCACGACATGAGGAACGGTATTAGAAGGTTGCAGCGTTAGGAAGGTGGAGAACCACAGGCTGGCGTGAAGCCATGCAGGGCACCTCAGAAGCTTGAAGATGCAGAGCCTGCCCTACCTTCTGAGCCCCTGCAGGAAGATGGTTCAGCTTGATTCTCTCTGAAGCCAGAGCTCATCAGTTCTTGACATTTGAACTTCTGGCCGCCAGGATCCTGAGAGAAAGTCTGCTGTTTTAAGCCAATCAGTTAATGCTAATTAGTTACACAGCTCGCCATGCTGGCGCACACTCACCTGCATGCCTTGCACGCTCACACTGGAAAGAGTTTCATTGCTCTTTGTGCAGCCAGGGTGTAAGCCAATCAAGCTGTCAGAAGCTCTGCCCGGAGACCAGGGGCCATCTGTAGCTTCCTATGCTTCTAGGGAGGGCAGGAGGACTCCGGTAGCTGGAGCCTTGGATCTCCAAAGGGGCTGATGATCATAGCTGGAGAGGAAGGCAAGGCTCCAAGGCACAGGCTGTGAAGACCACTCTCACCTCTCGGGTCCAGAGCTTCCGTAACCGTCACAGGTAGGACAGAGCTGGGCTTGCCATAGAAAAAAGAACCTGGGTTGTGCTGTGTGGGGGTGAACGCCTACGTGAGAGACTGTATGTAAGAGCATAGCCATCACTGGGAGATGCTTCTGGATGGAGAGTTTGCCAGTGAGTGTGAACAGGTTAATGTGGTTGTACGAGGATGCACGAGTGTGTCCATGCACGTTGGCACGTATCGTGTGACCCCCGTAGTGAAACCATACCAAGCTGCCGAAAGAAGACACAGCTGGGTTCCCCCACTCAAGAGATTCCTGTGTTGGGAGGGCCCGAAGGCACTAACAAGGGCACACTCCTGGGCTCAGATCCTGACTGAATGCCTAGGGACACTGCACCACGGAGCCTGTTTCACGGTGTCAGGCTGGTACCTTATGTGATGTTTGCTTTAGAGATGGGAGTTGAGAAACTGGGTAAGGGGGTAAGGGCTTTGCCACCATTCCGTGCCCATTCCAAGCTGAGAGGGTTCAGGACGGGTTCACTGAAGCTGTTATTCATTTTTGAACTTCTGGTCACTATTCAAATTCTGAACTTCTATGAAGAGGGTTCACTGACGCGTTCCAGGCGACTGACTTCCTTCCTTTCTAGGCACCTCGGTTACCCCTGAGCGACATGGCCTTGTAGACCTGCCCTTGCGCCCGCTGGGTGGCCGTGTGTGCAGTGGTGCGTCTCCCAGAGGAACCCTGGAAGACCTCAACACAAGTTCTTGAACTTGACCAGGGCGAGGGGCGTGCCCGCGACAGACCACGCCCGCCCCCGCCCCCACCCCGCCCCCACCCCCGCTGCTTTCTACCGGGAACGGCCGGAGGTGACGCCGGAACGGTAGGAACCAGCAAGGAAGGTCAAACCCGAGCTTAGCCGCACAGACGACGCCGCGGTCGTACCTCAGAACTCCAACCGTCCTGAGTGCTGCGTCAGGCGGCTCCGCAAAGAATTTTCCAACAGGAGACAGGGCAGCTTTAAAATAAAGATTCTGAGTCCTGCACTCCGTGCGTCCTGTGAGGAAACATTGCCGTCTCGCCCGGGAAGCCGCCTTCTAGACCGGTTCCTGCCCTGTCTGCGTTCCTCTCTGCAGTTGAGAATTTACAGCGGCCTCTTGGTTGCCGGCGTCTGGCTCTCGGTGGGGACTCACCCGGAAGTTGCCGTACCGCAGGTGGGGCGGCCGCTTTGCCATGGCGACGGCCGCTCGGCGACGCTTCTGCCGCTGCGCCTGCTTCTGCTCTCAGAACCTGTACGTGGCGCGCTACGGGCTGCACCTGCGCTTCCGGGACGAGCAGCAGTTGCGCCGTGACTATGGCCCGGTGAGCGGGGGGCGCAGGAGGGGCCCGGACACCAGGACTGGCTTTGCCCGAGGCCTCTCGCTGCAGATTGGCAGCTCCCTAGGAACCCGAGAACACGCGTGCCGAGTGCGCTGGACAGAAGTTTTCAGACCTATCGATGATCCTGTCACTGTCATCTCCGTGACAGGGGTGGGGGGGGCGCTGAGGCTCAGAGATGTTTATTGACAGGGTCACATAGCCCTGCTAACTGACCTTTCTGCTCGCAGCTCCTGCGCAGCCGAGGCTGCGTCAGTTCCAAGGACTTCCAGCAACTCTTGGAGGAGGTACGGCACCCCTGCCAGCCCTTCCCCTGGAGCCCTTGACTCCGAAGGACTTCTTAGCCCTCTTTCCCCAGTTCTTACTCCCACTCCCAGCTCCTGGCCCAGGAGAGAGATTGAGAAAGACCAAATTGCCCCCAGCGTCTCCTTCTCACCAGCTGAGTGGCATGGTCAGGGCCACCACCCCCATTTCAGCTATCAGGACACCTTGACACCTGCAGAGAACTCTGGCGGGTTCAGAAGTATAGGCAGACTTGCCTTCCAGCCTGGGTCCCACTTTGGCCTCCCTGGACTTCAGTTTCTTCTCATGGCGTTGGAGGTGGGTGGCCCCAGTGTGTAACTGCCTTTGCCGTTCCAGCTTGAGCAGGAGGTGGGGCGCCGGCGCAGGCTGGGGCAGGAATCAGCTGCCAGAAAAGCCCTCATTGCCAGCACCTACCACCCAGCGAGGCCTGATGTCTACTGCTCACTGCAGGTACTAGGCCGGCCTGGGAGCTTGGAGGATGCTGCCCTGGTGGTGGTGGTGGTGGTGGGGGGGGCTGGACTTTCCACAGCTGCCCCATTCTGCCCCAGGACGCGGTTCTGGCCCCTGAGTTTGTGGCTGCAGCTGAATACAGCGCATCCCCCGGTGCAGGCCTTGAGGGCCTTCTCCAGCAGCTGGAGATAGTGTCAGGTGAGGCCCTTCAACCCCATCACCAGCCAGCACTGCTGGGGGTGGGGGTAGGGTCGTGGCAGCTTGAGACACCTGGGTATGGGAGGCGGGGTACTTTAACTCTCCTCTCCGGCCCGGAAATAGCCACCAGGAACTGGGTCGGCCAGCAGGAGGAGCAGTCTGCCAGGGAATTTCATTCATTAATTCATCCATTCTCTTGTTCACTTATGGATCACCCAGCTAGGTTCAGGGAGTATGTTACTATTTCCATTGTACAGAGGGAACTGGCTTGAGGCTTTAGAATGACTTTCAGATAAGCTGGCTCATGAGGCTGAATGTCCCACAGTCTGCCCCTCCTTCCTCAGAGGAGAAGCGCATCTACCGGGTGCCTGTGTTCTCGGCGGAGTTCTGCCAGGCCCTGTTGGAGGAGTTGGAGCATTTCGAGCAGTCGGACATGCCCAAGGGAAGGCCCAACACCATGAACAACTATGGGGTGGGTGAGGCCTGCCTGTGTATCTGGAGAATAAGGACAGTTAGAGTGCACGAGTCACCTTGTTCTGAACCTAGAGCACCAGGAAAGCAAGCAGCTCTTGCACTTAGCAACATCTTTGGCAAAGAATTGTGGGGATGCAGGGTGAGGCTCCCCAAGTCTCCCTGCTGATTCCTGGGAATCCTCCTTAGGTACTGATGCACGAGCTAGGCCTCGATGAGCCACTGGTGACACCACTGCGGGAGTGCTTCCTGCAGCCACTGCTGGCCTTGCTGTACCCGGAGTGTGGTGGGGGCCAGCTTGATAGCCACCGGGCCTTTGTGGTCAAGTATGCGCTGGGCCAGGACCTGGAGCTGGGCTGCCACTACGATAATGCTGAGCTCACCCTCAATGTTGCTCTGGGCAAGGCCTTCACAGGGGGTGCCCTATACTTTGGGGGCCTCTTCCAGGTGAGTGAGCCCCACCACTTAGGGTCCAGGCAGTCATGAATACTCCAGCCTGAACCCTACCATCTGCAGGCACCTGCAGCCCTGATGGAACCCCTGGAAGTGGATCATGTGGTGGGCCAGGGTATCCTGCACCGCGGTGGCCAGCTGCACGGGGCTCGGCCCCTGGGCACCGGAGAGCGCTGGAACCTTGTCATCTGGCTCCGGGCATCTGCTGTTCGAAACCGCCTCTGTCCTATGTGCTGCCAGAAGCCAGAGCTGGTGGACGATGAGGGCTTCGGTGATGGCTTCACCCGGGAGGAGTCTGCCGTGGTAGATGTATGTGCACTGACTTGAGCCTGGTCCCCCAGGGGCGGTGGTGCCATGGCGGCAGGAAGCTGCCAGCTTGAGTGGGGAGGGCAGAAATAAACTCTATAGCCATGACCCTCCTTGGGCCAAAGGGACACGCTGACTCCCCGGTCACTCTTTGGACAGATGAGCTGTCTTAGGGCAGAACTGCTGGAAGACAAGTCGAGTTTGAGATGAAATATTGAGGGTCGAGGGTGGAGCAGGTTCAGGAAGGGAAGGAGCCCCAAAGAAAGTGATTCCCAGTGATGTCCAGCCTCAGCCTGATCCCTGAGGAGCTCTGCCTGGGGTGGAGGACTCAGTTTGTGACTCCTTGGATAGGGTGGCTCCCAGGGACTTAAGTGGGGTTCATTGGTCTGTCAGTGCTGGCGAGTGGGGAGCCAGACTTTCTGGGTTCAAGTCTCTGTTCTGGCACATCCTGCTGTGGCAGCCTGGGTGTTGTGACGAACTGACATTTATAAAGCACTTTATAACAGCCCTCTGCTTCCTGTTGTTATTTAAGAGCTTAGAACTGGTGGTTTGGAGATTGACTGAGGGGTGCACATAGCTGTGCGCTGTTCGGGATACACATTCCTGTGGACTTCCGTTGTAAGTCTAGGTACTCAGGGAAAGTGCTGAGATACAGGAACACCTCCCTCCAGATGGAGCAGTCTCAGCTAGACACCCGACAGGCCGGGGATTCATTCCTTAATTGGTTGTCATGATCCCTGGCTCATGATGGGCAACTGGACTTGCCACCTCCAGCAGTGAGTGACATTGGAAATACTAGCTGTCTTCAGTCCATCGGAGCTCTCAGTCTGGTGGAGTGGACAGACCGGCAGACTAACCAGGGAAAACAGTAGGAGGGTGGCTTTCAGGAGAGTGAGAGGCCCCGAGGGCTTGCGGCTGGCGCAGGGCCACAACCCGACTCCCACCCACGTAAAAACACCACTTCTTGTTGGAAGTGGGTGTGCCAGAAGCGGAACCCAGGGTCCGGAACTAAAGGCAACAAGGACTCAAGCTACACCCGGACGGACGGCCTTTCAGGACGGCCCCACCTCGGGAGCGGACCGGAAAACCCCGAGAGGCTGCTAGTTCCTCACGGAGGCTTACTGTAGACTGGTAGTTGGGCCTCGCGACTCCTCTGTGGGCAGCCAGGCCGCCTTCTCGCAGTTGAGGAGAGCTGTGGCGTTCCCCGCGCCCGCCGCGCAGAGTCCAGTGCGCAGGCGTGTGGGCGGGGCGGGCCCTTAAAGGGACCGCGTTGCGGAGTCGGAGGAGCTGGGGCCGCCAAGCGCAAGGTTCTCGGGCGGGAATGGGTACTAGGTGCCTCGAGGACCAGGCCCCGTTGGCACTGAGTTTGGATCTACTCTGCGGACGTGCCCAAGAGGAGCCGCAGGTTAAACGCGTCTCTTCCGGTCTCTAGCCTGCTTTGCTATGGCTCACGTTGGCTCTCGCAAGCGCTCGAGGAGTCGCAGTCGTTCGCGGGGTCGACGGGGGTCAGAAAAGCGAAGCAAGAAAAGTAGTAAGGACGCCTCGAGGAACTGCTCAGCCTCCAAATCCCAGGGTCACAAGGCCAGCAGCACGTCTGAGGGTGAGGACCGTAGGGACAGGGAAAGGGGTGTGCGGCTCTGCGCTGCGGGACACTTGCATCTGTCGGGCCCGCCCCCAGGGAGCAAGGGATTCGGCGTAGTACCCAGACTGAGGCCCTCGGATAGGGAGGAGGCTCGGTGGAGGGGAGGGTGTGCCTTATTCATGCTTTAATGTGCTGGGCCTTTGAGGTCGGGCCTGGCCACCCTGCCAGGCACACAGTGACTTCCAGGATCCCAAAGAAGGTTCCGAAGATGCTCTTGGGGAGCCGGTTGGGAGGGTCCTACCGAGTAGAGGCTGCCCCAGAGCAGAGCAGGGTACAGAGGCCTTATCTTCTCCCTGCATCACAGAGAGAAGCAAGCACAAGGCCCGGAGGACAGCGAGGTCCAGCTCTTCCTCCTCCTCTTCCAGTTCTTCCAGCTCTGCATCGTCCTCATCTTCCAGCGATGGCCGGAAGAAGCACGGGAAACACAAGGATAAGAAGAGGAAAAAGAAGAAGAAACGGAAAAAGAAGCTAAAGAGGAAAGCCAAGGAGAAGGCAGTGGTGGTGCACCCGGTTGAGGCTCTGCCCGGCCCCTCACTGGATCAGTGGCACAGATCAGCTGGGGAGGACAACGATGGCCCAGGTACCATGTGGGCCACCATGCGGTGGGGAGAGGGTGCCCTCCCCGGGTCTGACACCCCCTCTGTATTCTGTTCCAGTCCTGACTGATGAGCAGAAGTCTCGTATCCAGGCCATGAAGCCCATGACAAAGGCGGAGTGGGACGCTCGACAGAGTGTCATTCGCAAGGTGGTGGACCCAGAGACGGGACGCACAAGGTGTGGAGCAGCAGACACAGCTGCTAGTCCTGCCCTCAGTACAGTCGGGAGGGTGTGCTCTTGGGGGTGGGATATGGGGAAAATGGTCATTTGTAGTGTGATATCCCAGCTGTTATTCCCTGTGCCCCTTGAGTAGTGGCGGGACTGGAAGTGCTGCGACCAAGGAGAGCCTACCTGAACTGTCTCCCTTCTGTCCTGAGTAGTGGTTGGGATGAGTGGCCAGGTTCCTCCTGCTCGAGATGGTCGGGCTTGCCCTGGGGTTCCTTGGCTTGGGTGGTTTTGGTTCTTTTACTATGACATGAGAGTCCCAGACTCTTACTTGGTGAGCTGATCCCCTTTGACCCCCCCCCACCCCAGGCTCATCAAGGGAGATGGTGAGGTTTTAGAGGAAATCGTAACCAAAGAACGGCACAGAGAGATCAACAAGGTTGGTGTCACCACTCTGCCCATGCTGTGCCCACATGGTGTCTACACTCAGTATCTCATGCTTCTATCCTGTTTGCTTTCTCAGCAAGCCACCCGAGGGGACGGTCTGGCCTTCCAGATGCGAGCGGGCCTGCTCCCCTGAGGGCCCTGGTACCCCAGTCTGTGAACTACTGTTGGTGGCTTGGAGACAGATGGATCCAATTGCCTTTGCTCCTATGGGTGCCCCCTAAGCACCAGACTGGGAGAGTGTAGTGTCAATATTAAATGATCTTGGTCACCGAGTTCCTGTTGTGTTGCTTTCTATACTGAGGGGCGGAACTATTGCCATTTGACTTCTAAAGAGATGTGCTTATTATCTTTAGAAAGCTGGCATGTTCTCTGGTGGTGAGCAAAAACTACTAGCCACCCTGCTCCTCCTCAGTTGTCTCAACCAGGACCAGACCTGACCCTACCCTGGCTGAGTGAAACTCAGCTTTGGTCCTTAGATTGAACTCATCAGGCCATTGCCTGTGTCCCCCAGGGAGCAGAGGCTAGCAAACGTACTTCACCGGGTCTGTGTGTGAGGTGAGTGCTGATGCCACAGTGGTTAGTTAGCATGTGTCATTGCAGTGGATGTTCCCACGCACAATCCAGGAGACCCATGGTGCTGCCACAGTAATGAGACCAGAAGGAAGCCTCCTGCTTCTTTAATTGGTGTAACAGACTGTGACACGGTATACAGAGAGCACACTCAGGCCAGACGATGCAAGGACAGCAGGGATGGGGTCAGGACAGGTTCACACATCGTCCAGAGAAACAGATGACAAAGACACATGGGAGGGTCTGAGATGTGACGATGTCACAGGGCAGGGTGGTGGGCAGCTCACACAGAACCAGGAAGGGGTGGGGGAGGGTTCTTTGCTGAATCCTTCTTTAGAAATCAAAGAGAAGGCAGGTGGTTGGTGCTGGGTGGCATTGAGGCTCAGTCCTGGGGACTGCGGGTGGGGAGGGAGTGACTAAGGCTTCTATTCTAACAGGCCTGGGGTGGGTGGCAGTCAGCAAGGTCTGCCTCACCCTTTGGTTACGAATGGCCAGGCCTGAGCCCTGCAGCTCAGCACCTGACACTGTAAACATTTTTGGTATTTTTAAGGGACTTTGACTTTCCTCTCTTAGTTTCTGTAAAAGTGGGGCTTCTTCAAGAGAATGAGCCAAAGGAAATCGTAAGGGAAGCAGAAAGCAGACTTGAGTGAAGTTTGGGGGAAGGCTGCCGTCTCACCATCTATGGCTAAGGGCCTGGGGAGAGCCCTAGGGGACTATTGCTGTTGTCCTTGGCATGGCTGGCGGCTGGGCAGGCAGGGACATTCGGAGCCAAGAGGGGGCTGCCCAGGGGGAGAAACCAAGCCCGCTGACCCCAGGGCTTCCCTGGCCTTTATTGCAGGTGGCCTGAGGCTTCCAGGTGCTTCTCCCAATGGCTAGTCACCTAGGCTGAGGCAAGAAGGGGTGGGACTGCGGGAGGGGGCACTGGCCACTGGAACCCCTAGTGGGGCAGTGATTGTCGGGCCAACAGCCTCCTTCAGGGGTGGGGAGTAGTGGGGCAGATATTGCACTTTCATTGTGACGGTTCCTTGGAATCTTGGTCCATAAAATAATCACTGCTTTATACAGAACGCTGGAAACAGCAAAGCTACACCTTAAGGGGGAAGACCATGAAGGTCTAGCCTCTCCAGACAATTTTTTTTCTCTGCACAAAATAAATAGCTTTCTTTCTGTCTAGGCCCACCATGGCAGGGCATCTCATGCCCCTGAGATGCACATATCTCTACAGCAAAGTCAGCGGCTCCTGTATGCCTACCTACTCAGCCTAGCCGTGCGGCCCTGAGTCTCAGTCCAGCGTGGCAGCTCCTCAGGTAGAGCCCCCATAACTGGACAGCTGGCCTGAGCTCAGTGGGCTCAGTCAGCGCAGGGAAGGTGCAAGAGAATTGTGCTCAGTGCTGCGGGGAAGGCAGGGCTCAGACCCAGAGTGTGGGACACCCGTTCTTGTTTAGGGAGAAATAAAATGGCTGTCTGCCTTTAAGCTGACGAAGCAAGCTGTGGCTTCTTGGGGTAGACATTAAACGGAATGGCATTAAGAAAACCTAAGAGCTCCACCTGCCCCAGAGTAGGAAGTCGGTGGAATTGTGGGTCTGGTGAGGCGAGAAGCCCACAGCTTGCCGAGTGGACCAGGTACAGGGCCCACAGGCCAGACTGAGTGGGACCCTGTCACAGTGCTGGGTGTTCCTAATGTAGCAGGCTGCACTGATGCTGAGCTAAGAAAAGGAAGCAGCCGCTGGCTGCCTGTTAAAAAACCTTATAGAAACCAGATGGAGAAGTAGAAAGGTGTAGAAACGCGGCGGGCAGCAGCCATGGCATGGGGCTCCAGCCCATGGCAGGCAAGGAGGTGGAGGTGGAGGCCAGGCTTCACAGGCCCAGCTGCCCAAGGTGGGTTCCCAGGAAGGAGCTGGCTAAGCACTGTGCTGGCCTTGCGCCTGTGCTATGCTCAGGACCTGGAATGACAGCAGTCCTGGGACTGCACTGAGCTCTGGGTGGGCAGGTGGGTGGGTGGGCAGCAGTCTTGAGACTGCCACTGGGCTGCCACAGTGCTGGCAGGCCAGGCAGTGGCAGAAATTAAGATTTAGCCTTTCTCTCCTGCTTGTGTGAAGATTTGCCACACTGGAATATTCTGTGTGGTGACAGGCCCTGGATCAGCAGATACTGGGTTTCATGCATGTCAACATGTCTGGAGCCAGAAGAGAGATGGTTAACAGGTCTCCACTCTCAAAAACCAGTGCAAAACCAGTGAGGTTGGACAGTTGAGAACCGGAGTCAACAAGAAGCAGGCTGGACCCCCGCTGGAACTGCTACCAAATGGGAAGGGGCGCCAGTGGACACAGAGGTGGTAGGCTGGGCTTTATGCCCATGCTTGGCACCAGGAGGCTGAGAGATCAACACAGGGCAAGATGTCCAGGAATGCCTCCCGGGTTGGGCTAGGTGGCCCATCCTGGTTCCTCTTCCATCATGGGCTGGACATCCTGCCAGTTTCCATGACAAGCTGGGCTCCTCAGAGCCTAGGGCATGAGGCAAGGCCGGGAGGACTGTGTTGTCATGGCCATGTCTTCCAAGGGGCCCTGGGACAAGCTCTCAGGCCACATCTGTGCTTGTCCCCAGCTACCTATGTGTGCACAGGTCAGGCCTCCCAGTGGAGCTGGTGCCCTGGCCTAGCACCATGGAGACCACAGCGCCTCCTAATGGTGTCCTACTTGGGTCCTGTGGCTGCCCCGGGTTCAAGGCGGCCTGTTATGGCACGGCCCCAGCAGCTGGCCGCCACACTCATGCTGCGCTGGCCCCGCTGCTCACTGTCCATCTGGCTCTGTGTCCGATCGTGCCGATGGCTGGGCCCACTGGGCTGGGCTGAGATGGTGCGGAGCAGGTGGTTCCGGGAGCGCAGGAAGTCACCCTGGCCAGGTAGGCCAAAGCTGCCCTTGCGCAAGGCCATACGTGTGGCCGTGTTTCGGGCTGGACGTGCCCGATGATTGTACTTGAGCTGGGCCAGGTGTGCCGCATAGCCGTCCGTGATGAACTGTAGAGGAGTGATGGGGTAGGTTGTTAAGCAGCCTGGTGCTCCCCAAGCTCCCCACGTCCCTTCAGTGTGCCCGACTCACCTGGCACTGTTGCTGCAGCTTCTTGGTGGGCCGGCCCACAATGTAGATATGCATGGGAGACAGGCTGATGGAGTTATAGACTGCCACATCCTTTGTGGAACCGTAGGCCGCATGCGCACGCAGGTGCAACTGTGGATAAGACAACCATGGGCACAGGCTGGGTCTTCTAGCCCTCCCCTCCTTAACCCAGTGCTCCCAGGCCCCACCTCAGAGATGAGCAGCTTCAGGAAGTTAGCCTTGTGCCGCAGTGGGTCATGCACCAGGCCATCACAGAAGGACACCACACCGTGAGGGAAGTTGTGCTGAGCCAGCCATGCCACTACCCGCTGCTTCTGCATGTCCGGTCGGCCAGTCACATAGATGATGAGGTAGCCCAGGTCCTGCCAGTGTCTGCAGAGGCAAGGGGCAGGTGTGTTCCATGGCTGCTCTCCTCCTTGAGCCTCCCTCTCTCCTGCCCAGCTAGAGCTCATTTGGGCCATTGAAAAGTACTTCTTCAAATGAAAATAGATCCATATCTATCACCATGCACAAAACTCAAGTCCAAATGGATCAAAGACCTCAACATAAAGCCAGCCACACTGAACTTCAAAGAAGAGAAAGTGGGAAGTACATTTGAACGCACTGGCACAGGGAACCACTTCCTAAACATAACCCCAGCAGCACAGACACTGAGAGAAACAATAAATGGGACCTCCTGAAACTGAAAAGCTTCTGTAAAGCAAAGGACACAGTCAACAAGACAAAACGACAGCTTACAGAATGGGAAAAGAACTTCACTAACCCCACATCAGATAGAGGTCTGATCTCCAAAATATACAAAGAACTCAAGAAATTGGACACCAAAAGATCACATAATCCAATAAAAAATGGAGTACAGACCTAAACAGAGAACTCTCAACAGAGGAATCTAAAATGGCTGAAAGACACTTAAGGAAATACTCAACATCCTTAGTCATCAGAGAAATGCAAATCAAAACAACTCTGAGATTCCATCTTACACCTGTAAGAATGGCCAAGATCAAAAACACCGATGACAACTTATGCTGGAGAGGTTGTGGGGGGAAAGGGAACACTTCTGCAGTGCTAGTGGGAATGCAAGCTGGTACAGCCCCTTTGAATATCAGTATGGCAATTTCTCAGAAAATTAGGAAATAACCTTCCTCAAGACCCAGCAATACCACTTTTGGCTATATATCCAAAGGATGCTCAATCGTGTCACAAGGACATGTGCTCATATGTTCATAGAAGCATTGTTTGTCAAAGCCAGAGCCTGGAAACAACCTAAATGCCCCTCGATCTAAGAGTGGATAAGGAAAGTGTGGTACATTTACACAATGGAGTACTACACAGCAGAAAAAATTAACATCATGAAATTTGCAGGCAAATGGATGGAGCTAGAAAACATTATATTGAGGTAACCCAGACACAGAAAGACAAATATCACATGTACTCACTCATAAGTGGCTTTTAAACATAAAGCAAAGAAAACCAGCCTACAAACCACAATCCCAGAGAATTTAGACAACAATGAAGACCCTAAGAGAGACTACCTGGATCTAATCTACATGGGAAATAGAAAAAGATAAGATCTCTTGAGTAAATTG